TGGAACCCCGAAAGCAAAACCGGCCAAACTTGAGAAGTCGGAAAATAACCCGTTGTCGCCCACACCCTCAAATCGTACAATGGATTCTGATCTGGAAGGACGAAGCGAGAAAGCAAAGTCGGCAAATCTAGCGCTAGATCCCAACAAGCCTCTCCACATTACGCTTCCTACCTTCCGTATGGTCATTCTTGCAGATGAAGCATTGCTAAACTTCTTTGAGGTTGGTTTCTCTTCGTCGTTCCGCCTCGCTGATGAGACGCTTCCTTCGGCGTCTAGCTTCCACAACCTGACAACCTTTGCCAATGCTGGAAAGCAGGGAGGTGCCGCAGGTTTAGGTGGTGTTGTTGGTGGAGCTGGCGTTGGTGTTGTACCACCTGGCAAGGGGCTCCGAGGCATGCTTGACAACATTGTCAATGATGGCATGAGAGTTGCCACAGAGGTCAGAAGAAGATATGATGAGGCTCAAAAGGAACTTGACAAGGAAGCACGACATGGCAAGGATGACGAAGAAGAGGAGGAAGATGTAGATGCCAAAGATCTTGATCTTCTGGAAGGCGCTGAGACGGCTGGCGTAGGTGCATCAAAAGGCGAGGTTCCACCTGACTTGTTATCGCCGACTGGCACAGGAGAGGAAGAAATGAAGCCGAGAGATCGAACAGGAAGCGATGCTAGCAAAAAGGTGCTTGAGTTTGAGCGATAGTAAACGCTTCACGAAATGAAGTTCCCGTTGACGGTTTGAGCATTTGGAGGTGTCATTGGGAGTTTTTTTATTTCGTACAGTCTAGCACGTGTTGCCATCTAGCACTCAACTATTGGTCTCTTGATCTTACTCTCTTCTCATCAATGACCCTCTACTAGCATCAAAAAAAATGCGACACTAACATACCGCCACCCCTTTTTCACCTACCACAACACCCTCTGCACCCAATCTCCCATCCCATCCATCACCCCCCACCCCCACGCATCCACATCCCTAAACTCCACCAAATTCCCTTTAACAACCACCCCCTTCCCACTCCACCTCCATTCCGCATCCCCCAGCACCCCTGTATTCTTCAACCACCCCTTTCCCTGAAAAACCACCACCCTAAACCCGCCGCCCAACCCCATAGGCTGCAGCCCACTCTCCAGTATGCGCTCAAAATGATGCGTCTCGGGTATGTGCATGTTCCACACGGCGATGTTGACGGGGATGCCTGCTGCAGCGTAGGCTACGCGCGCCGTTTCTTCCAGCAAGGCTGTTTGGCGCGTGCGGCCGATGGTGTCGAGATCGAAGGCGATTTTGTGGAAGAAGTTCGTGAGGGGTGCGGCTGGGGAGGGGAGGAAGGAGGGGAGGGTGGTGGCGAGGATGAGGGGGGCGGGGAGCATAGTGTTTTTTCTTGAGGTGGAAGTTTGGGAGGTTGAAATTTGGGGAGGAGAGAAGGGGGGAGGGAGATGGTGAGAGATAAGGGTGAGGGACGAGAGGGGGTGGTGGTTGCATGGCGTAGTGGTGCGGTATTGATTGGGGGAGATGGGGCGGCTATGTACGTTTGTGATGCAGGTTGGGGGCACGGCGGTTATGTTTATTGGAGGGCTTGGGATTGTAGAGGTTTGGTGTATGGAGGCGCTTGAGAGTTTTGTTTCCTTTGATAGATGAGATGGGTAGATATCTTGGTATGTTGTGACAGCGTGAAGTCTGGTTTTGTTCATGCTATGGTGGAGAGCAGAAGGTGAGTGCTGTCATTGTTCTGTGCAAGGGTGTAGCCCGAAGTCTTCAATCTACAGTAGGCTTAACTGAATTGTAAAGGAGGAAATATTCATGGATGTTTGACTGTTTTTATATCTTCCTGTGTTGTTGATGGGAATGCCAGTCATTGATACGTGAAGCCTCTTGGTGTACCTATTTGCAACTAACCACTTTCACCACCACGCATTCATATACAGGAGTCTTTTATGCTCAAGTGCTAGAGTTTTACACAAAGGTTAATTTAATAGAAGAAGAAAAATGTAAAACTCTACAACGCGGGTTTATAGGCAAGTGTCTCCGGGGATTTTGGTCTAACAAGAGGGGGAAGCCACAGCTCGGAAGCTACCCCGCATGTCCGCCCGGAACTGTCGACCGCGGCTCAGTTTCGACGAGCGGCACTGACTCGTCATGTCCGTCTTGTCTCCACATAAGACCGATGCCAGCCATGTCTTTCCTTCTTTTGTCCGGCTTGTTGATGCTACCTTCAATTGAAGATGCTTCGGAAGCTCGTTGGTCGCGCTACAAGATGCCCTAAGCCTGTGCGAATTGCGCAAAGAGGGCTCCTCACCCAAGCATATAGTATTGGCCCTACCGAGGTACGCACGTCAATTGAGCCCTCTCCCCGTAATTCCAAATATTACCTTTCGGCTTCGCTAATGGCGTAACACAGCCTCCACTGCTCGAACAAACTATTCCCCAGCACTTTGCAGGTGTTGTGAGACAGTATGGTGATCGTGATGCGTGCGTGTGTCTTGACCAATTTTGACATCGTCCTAACTAAGATTCGTATAGAATTATCTCACACCATCAGCGCATACGGCTGACATACGATGCGCTGGATCGCGACTCCAACAGACTGGCAAGAGGATTACAGAACCTGGGAGTCAAGAAGGGAGACAGGGTTGCAGTGAGCTTGGGAAACAATATTGAATTTGCTACGGTATGTTGTTTGGGCATTGATGAGAAACAATGGCTGACGACTACAAAGATTACGTATGCGCTTTTCAAACTAGGAGCGATACTGGTATGTGTGCGTCCGGAGCTATGAGAGATTGCTCATAAACCAATTGACTTCAAGGTCCCCCTCAATCCTTCTTTTAACGCACCACAAATCCTAAACGCCATCAATCACTTAGACGCTTCCCATCTCATAATTGGAGCCGAAACAAACCTTCCACGAAAAGACCCGCGTTCCAACATCTCGTTGCTTACACATTTGATACCCAATCTTGCCGGTTCGAAACTCGAGTCGGAGCTTGTTCCTTCGCTAAAGAAGGTCGTAATGGTGGACAATACCCAAGGGAGGATCAATTTGGACGAATACAAATGCTTGGGAAGATATCAGGATGTAATTGAGGATGGTGGCCAGGGTTTAGCATTACAGGATCAAGGACTCGACCCTCATGATATTGTCAACATCCAGTTCACTTCGGGTACAACCAGTATGCCAAAAGCTGCGTGCTTGACCCATAGGAGCATTTTGAATAATGGCAACAGTATCGGCGATAGGATGCTGCTTACAGAGAACGACATTGTCTGTTGTCCGCCTCCATTGTTTCAGTGAGTCGTCCCGTACAGGTTGCATCACACAATGTCTGACTGTGCACAGCTGCTTCGGATGCATTCTCGGATACATGGCTACAGCAACCCACGGAAGCGCTATAGTCTTCCCCACAGAAGCTTTCAATGCACTTGCTACTCTTGAGGCTGTCCGAGAACACAAGTGTACTGCCCTGTACGGTGTTCCTACCATGTTCGTGGCGGAGCTCGAACTCCTAGGCAGTGGTGCAGTACCATATGAGGGCTTCCAACATTTACGCACTGGCATCGCGGCTGGCTCCTCCATTCCCGCTGAGCTAATGCGCAAGCTTCATAAGATCCTGAACCTGACGGAACTGACTATATGCTACGGAATGACAGAAACAAGTCCAGTCTCAGCCATGACAACCACGGATGATCCTATTGAGAAGCGCATCAACACTGTAGGCCGGCTTCTCCCACATGTTCGCGCAAAAGTTGTCAACGCTTCAGATTGGTCGAAAACGCTCGATGTAGGCCAGCGTGGTGAACTAGCCGTCTCGGGGTATCTCGTTATGAAAGGCTATTGGGGAGACCCGGCGCGCACAGAAGAAGTTCTTCAACCAGACGAGGACGGTGTCATGTGGATGCATACTGGAGACGAGGCCTCCATGGACGAGGAAGGATACATCAAAATCACTGGAAGAATCAAGGATCTCATTATCAGGGGCGGCGAGAATATTCATCCTCTTGAGGTTGAGAATTGTCTCTTCGCCCATCCAGCCGTCAGCGAAGTCAGCGTCATCGGGTTACCGGATGAGAGATACGGCGAAGTTGTTGCAGCTTTTATCGTAAAACATGCTGGAGAGGAGGGAAAAGTAACAGCTGATGAGGTGAGGACTTGGGTTAGGGAAAAGCTGAGCCATCATCTGGGTACGTCTATATCAATGCTGGAAACTGTATAGCAAGCTGACATTGAAAAGTTCCCAAATATGTCTTTTGGGTGGACAATTACCCTAAGACGGCGAGCGGCAAGATCCAAAAATTCAAGCTTAAGGAACAAGGAATTGCACTGCTGCAAGAGGGCCAAGGGTTGAATTAAGAGCACTTGATGTTGTTTTGGCTGTCCCCCATCGTTCTGAGCCACTTGATTGCCGTTTTCATCAAAGATCACCACAATGGTACTAGGCAGACTCTTTCACATGCCGGAAATAGTAACCGACGATGTGGGGCTTCGAACCCAATCAGTAAAACTTATGATGCACTAAAATGCGATACTCAGTATCGAAATGTTTAGTGCTGTAACGACAATCTGTTTTTCAATCTCATCCGGTGCCCCGCCGGAATATGGATCACATTCTGGCATAATGGCAGGGGTACTGGTGCAGTAGTACTTTATAGTGCATGTAAGCGAGGGGATGCTTACCAGTCACGCTTCAGTTCATGACATCGCATGCATAGGTAGGTCTGACTGAACATCAGCAAGAAGACCATAGTATCAATCAAGTGCTATCGTCAGAAAAGATCTGCCTAGTGAACGAAAACTAGGTCTTATTCTCACATAATCATCTTGCCTTCTTCGTTCTCTCGTGCCATGTTTTGATAGTACTGGTCCGAGATGAAGGAAATAAACTGCAGAAACCTCAACAGTCTTTTTTCCTTAGCATGCAGGATCTATGCAAGGCCAGTCAACATTTACTTACCAAGCCGCTTATATTGTGCAACCAAGTCCATCGGCTATTTGTTTTCACCTGGCATTCCTTTCTTTCTCTTAATTTCCAGGGACACCGCCGGAAAGTTCGCCGTCCAACGTTACTCTACCTTCCGCCAGCATATCGACATCGTCACCAACAAACTTGTTAAATTCAAATCCAAATCTTGCTAGAAATGTCAGAACTAACAAACACTCGTGTGCCCACACCCTCCAACCCCTCACATCTGGCCCCGCGCTACGAAATCCGAAAATTGAAGCCGGTCCACCTCCCCTGGGCCACCGCCATCCTCGCCCACAGTCATGGCTTTCACTCGAGTGTCTGGCAGAAAATATGGCCCGACCGCAACCTTGGCCGCTGGGTCGTCGAAAACACTCTCAACTTCGAATACCTAGTCCGCCACCAAATCGACTCAGGTCTCTCCTTCGGCGTCTTCGACACAGAATACGAGTTCAAAACCGACACAGCCCGCGCCACCGGCGGCGCCCTCCTCTGGGACGCCGGCGAACTCGATACAAAAAGCGTGGAAAAGACGCAAGGCCGCGCAGCAGAAGGGCAACGGTTACTAGACCAGATGGACTTCCCGCTCGTAAGCATAATGCTCAGCTATGACGGCTTCACCCCGCTTGATCCCGAGAAAATGAAACCCTTAATCGCCGCTTGGCCCGAATTCCGTATCCTCTACGGCGCGCTCGAACAGCGGGATCAGCGAGATCCGGCGTCGTGGAAGCCCACTGCGCCGCGTCAGGTGCTCATGCGCAATGCGACGTCTACGCGGGGCGACTATGAAGGGCGGGGCATTATGGGAGCTGCGGCACGGTGGTTGCAGCGCGAGGCGGCGCTGATGGGGTTTCAGGGAATTCAGATTGAGGCAATGGCGGATAAGGTGATTCATGTTTGGACGGAGGGTGTGCAGAAGCCGTTTAAGGGGACCTTGGTAAGTGAGTTTGAGTGTCAGACGCTGGAGGTGGATGGGGAGAGGCCTTTTGGGGCGGCGAAGCAGAGGATTATCAAGGCTTGGGTTGATTTAACGGCTTGAGGGAGATGGGAGGGGGATAGCATTGACTTCGACTTGGGTTGTTGCCGCTATGATAGATTCAGGTTGCAAGTTTGCTTGAATAAATGTGTCGGCCTTGATACGGCCGCTTATAGAATGGAAAATGGAAAACGAATGGGTGTGAATTACTTTACAGCATTTTCATTCCTGCATATGAGCGGTTTTCAGTGTGCAAGTAGATTTCTACTGCACAGGTTTTCGGATGATCAAAACAATCTAGCTTGTATGTCACTTGTCATCCAATGCTTCCATTATTATAAGGTAATGATGGCCTTGTAAATGCTTTTCGACAATCGAGGATGCTGGAGGCGACAGCGGAGTAATTCTCAGAAGGATGGAGTCTACCTGTCGTCACTGCGAAATCTTAGTTTTTAAGACCACAGGTCAGATATGACGGACTATTGTAAGGCCATCTTCGCTAATCTGGTATAACAGATCGTTGTATTCCGAAAACAATTATTATTCAGCTCCCATATCGCAATGAGCTTGGCGACTGTAATACCCCATCTTGCCCTGACATAAAGGGTCTAGCCGCTAGTCATCCTTGCGAACAAGTAGCCCCATAGAACAATAGCGAGGCTTGCTACTGAATCATATCATGAAAGGTTCATATATTCACTGCTTCTTGCTCTTCCCTCGAACATACTCCGTTGCCCTATCCCTTGTAGCATTCTAGCAACTACTGCACATTAAAAACTAAGCCAAATATCGCCCCGCCTTCCCGGGAATACTTTCCACCCCTGCGCCACCTCAATCTCAAGACATGTAGTCTTGTGGGGAAGGCGTGTGTGTTGGGCGTGATCACTGGCGTGGCGGCTGGTATGTAAGTGAATGCCTCTAGCGAGTGTGTGATTAGGAGTAAGATGCTAACGAATGGTGTTATGATAAAACGGGGATGGTGAATGGAATAGCTAAGTTTCAGAGATGCGATATTTGATGCTGCACTAACTAGGCGGGTACAGAGATACCGGTAGGTTTTGGTGGGGTGGTGAAGAGTGAGTTGACCGACTTGGCATGCTTGAATCTCTCGGAGTTACATGCTACTTTTTGTATATGAGAGAAGTGAATGGTGCTTCAATAAGAGGTGGCCGATATTTTTAATGCCGATGATTTAGCTACGGGTATGACTCGTTTGTTGCCGCAAGTTGTAGCCCCCGCGAGTTTTCGGATACAATCCTACTGTTGCTTACAGCATACTAGTATATTGGTTCATACTAGTTCCTTGTCCATTCTTGTAAACTTTCTTCATGTAGTCTCCAATTATAACCCTAATCACTGCTCTGCTGCTTCTGTTCGTCGAAAATTGTCTTCAGCAAGAGTGTACACACTGAGCATTTTTCGGATAAAATATGTGCTTTTTCCATTCAGTCGGCTGCTAGTTTGTTCTTTAAAAATGCTCAGGTGGCTCGTTTTCTATTTAGCGTGATGCAATATGCTGCAGCTGGAACCAGGACACCAGGCGGTCCACCATAAACTATTAGGTAGCAGCCGCGTCGCGCACTGCCCCCGTCGCCCGAATATCGGGATGCTTTACCAATTGACTAAAGGCTTACCCGGCTCCCAGTTTACTCGGTCTTATCAATTCTGCATATCCTGAGTATTTTCCTAACCCTGAACAACCATAAACCAAGCAATTCAATCTCGCTATGAGGCTTTTGAACACAGAGTCGCTTGAGCTTAGCTGTCCTTATGTCCCAAGCGAGGTTCCAGATTACGCAATCCTTTCTCACCGGTGGAGCACTGAAGAGGTCACATTTGCAGATATAAACAGTACGCCTATTCTACACCTTCAAAGCCAGATGCGGACGAAAAAAGGTTTTGCAAAGATACAAGGAGCTTGCAAACTAGCACGCAATGACGGATACACTTGGATCTGGATTGACAGTTGTTGCATCGACAAATCTAGTTCGGCTGAGTTGCAAGAAGCGATCAATTCCATGTGGAGATACTACGCAGAGTCAAATATTTGCTACGTTTATCTAGAAGATGTTCTCGATTCGGAAGCTGGCTGGGGTCCGATGTTCGCTAAAAGCCAATGGTTCACACGTGGTTGGACGTTGCAAGAGTTGATTGCCCCGACATGTGTCGAGTTCTTTGCGGAGAATTGGGCCGCCATCGGTACAAAATTCGAACGTTACAAACAAATTGCAGATATCACATCAATCGACTCAGACCTTCTCATTCGTGTCCGAGCTCTTGATGATTTCAGTACTGCGGAGAGATTGTCATGGGCATCCCATCGGAACGTCACTAGGGAAGAAGATGAGACATATTCACTGATGGGTCTGTTTGACGTTAACATGCCACTTCTCTATGGAGAAGGGCGGGAGAAAGCCTTTGTCAGGCTCCAAGAAGCTATCTACAATGCCACAGCCGACCACTCGATGTTCTTATTTCGCTATAGCCAACACAAATTCAGCCAGCCTCTATTGGCTAATTCGCCGAAAAGTTTCTGCGACAGGTTAGATTGCACTCTTTGTCTCTCGCCAAAATGCCCAAACACTTCTTGGGTTTTTCGATATCGCAATATTGTTGCATCCGAGAGTTGGCGCACACAAGCACATGAACAGATCATGACGACTGTTACCAGTTCACGAAATGAAGTATCCACCATCCTTCCGATTTTGGCCTATCGAGAGATTTCCAGCAAGCTAGAGTTCTTGGATGGAGCGACACCACGAGTCAGTGTAACCCATGTAGCGGTACTCAATCATACCTTGAAAAAGTATCCGCAGGGTGCTCTTTGTCTCCTGTTACAACGACGGTCTGACCTGGATTCATCCCTCCGCTTACAAGCACTCCCAGTTATTTTGCCCGATCTTGGGGACTTCGTGTCTCGACTCCAAAAGACGAAGCTCCTCATTTGTCCAGGACCGGGTAAACTAACATATCAAGACCCCATCGATGCAGTGTTTTCTATCCATAGTGATCTGTTCCATGTAGAAGCTTGGGATGTTAAGGGCAGCAAGAGTCACTCATTAGTATCAGCACAAACTGGACAAAATTCAGAATTCAAGATACGAACAGTAAAGCATGATCTACCCGAAAAGCCAGTTCAGATATCATGTGGAATCGTTTGTTCACAGGATTCAGAACTTTTGCTCACTATCCGGCTAATTCAAATGAACGAAATTTGGTCCATCAAAGAGATAACTGAACGAAGGAAATACAGCAGGGAACGAAACCTACACACACTGTTTCTTTCTACTGTTCTTGCTGATCGATGTGCAATTCATTTTCCCGATGGAAAGATACTATCAGTAAAACTTCGACGGTTACCCGGCTCTGCGCGTACTCCTGAAGGCTTCGTAGTAAGGAACTGCTATCAAATTTCAATAGACTATCGATAGGTGGTCCCGTAGCAATATGAACATATACTTCTAGCGGCAACCTATCATATAGTTTGATTGTTTTATAAGCTATTAGCTTGAGCTTAATGTTGAGCCTTATTCAAGAATGGGAAGCGAACTAACAGCTGTATCGAAAGGTCTTTGAACAAGGCTTCTTTCATAGAACGCTGCTTTACGATCAGTAACTAAAAGGAGTTACACTGCGAGTTGGCCACAATATAGTACATTGAATATCACATTTTGTGTTGCATTGTAGTGTCACTATAAGCAATGACACTGACACGTTTTCGAGTAGGCATATCCCTAAATAACATACTCTCGAGTTATTACCACTATGTTAACTTAATTTCTTTATGTAAATAATGGTAATATTGTGGTATATGGTGAATGTTCGTTCGAGAACAAGACATTGTGCATGAAATAGGAGGACATATCAATGTAACAGCTGGTCCTAGACTCATAGATACCAACTGCAGTTCATAGGTGCTTGGAATCGTATCGAGATGGAAGAAATTAAACATTTCACATCCTCTACGAAAGACCTATCATGGAACAATCATTTTTCATAGACAGTTCTGCACTTGGACGATGCTATGATCAGCCCCTCATCTCGTTCTTTCTTCTCATATTTGCTATATACGAAGAGAATGATTTTGCATCTTTCCTGATAGTGCCAGTTAAATCAACAAACTAATGTAGCAAATGAATCAATTGACTGGGGATAAGTGTCAGATTTAACAGTAACTCGAGCCCCCTCCAAGGTGATCCGTCGATCTGAGTCCTATCTGGAAGCCAGAACTCGAGTAATTGAGGCTCTGCTCGGTATATAGACTTGCGAGGTTTACCGGTAATTCTAGATTCCTAGTTACTGGGCCATTTCCCAAATCAGGGATAAACCGCGCATGCATATGCAGTATGCATAACAAGGAAAGAGGCGTGTGACACAACCTGGCGTAAGAGTGCACTTACACAGTTGCGCAAGAGCCACAGATTATGAGTCTTTCATTCGCTGTTGTAGACCTCACACTAAATTCGACCAAACTTCTCGTATTCGTCAAAGCAAAGCGCTTAGCAGACTTCTCGAGATTTGTGGCGTACATCCCCACCCCGGTATAGAAAAGATAGCTCTTGAAGATATGGAATACCTCTGCACTCTTGTATTTTAGATCAAGGATAGAAGCCACAAAAGTCATTTCTCAATTTTATTGCTACAGTGTACTCAGCCGGTCGGTCGAAAGGCAACTACGTAGAGTACTGCCTAATGTCACCACCCACTCAACCTGACACACCTTCGGCGATTGGTGTGCACTTTACCGATCAACTAACCTATGTTTACAGCTGCAACAGTCTCATGATCCAACGCATCACTTAGGCTTCCACGGATAGAATATGACTAGACGTTTTACTACGTGGGGTGCATTAATGTGGAGACTGCACACCACTCCCGCATGCAGACGCCGTTGTCGTTTCAAAGCGACACCGTGAGGACAGGGATTACTCCAAGATTGAATGCGAAATATGTTATCGTGACGAGTCCCGGAGTATGCACTGAATACGGTGCATACATGAAGACATGCAGACAGCAGTGGCAAAATGCAATGTAAGCGCAGCAACATCGCCCTCACACTGGGCATTTACGATTGGTACTTGAGATTTGCAGTCATATGAGATATGTATATCATGCACTGGCTGCTACTCGTGTCCAATGAATTGATTACTCGGAAAGACGACCCAATTGTAGACGTCAATTGAGACCAACGGCACGGCATTCCGATACACTCTCAACCTTATGACCCGGTAGTGCAGAGCTCTTGGGAAGCCAGCTGAGATGCAAGGCTGAGTCGGCAAGATGCAAGGTGAGCTGTTCAGACCAATCAAACGACCGCAGTGGCGCTACGTACGTGATGCAAATTGAAAAGCGAAAGCTAGCACTTGCGACGTAGGCGCTGTCTGAGGCCGCCGCTTTTACACAAAAAGAAATCGTATTGGTTCTCTTCGATCCAAACTCTCATACACCAAAAATTGTTGTAATCATTACTTCTTCCTTCAGCTTTGCGTCACCACATGCCCTTCTGTGGGTACGGGTTTCCTATTGGCCAAAGAGCGAGATACTGCAGTCGACGCTCCATGGAGGCAAGCGCAACGTAGGGTAAGCATGTAAATTTGTTGAAACATACAATACTTCTCTAATCGTTGGTTCTGCGCAAATGTGTACTCAAACGAACGAAATTGGCGTGGAACCAGCTCAATAAACTCAGGATTAAGGGGCTGATTCCACGATACTCTCATCGTCCTGCGAACCAATAAGAACATCAGACCCCACACACACATCTGTGATTCGCTTATCACAGCCTGCAGGTCATGTCCACATCTCGTTAACCATGTGCTTTCCTTTTTTCTTCCGCTCCTCAGTTTCTTCACCGGTGGCCTCAGGCATCACCAAAACATCTAGAAATGGATAACATTGCAGCAAACTAGACTTAAATCGTCTTTTTTTGCCACTACCAAAGAACCTTAAGTCGACATCATTCCATCACTTATACTCTGACATCTATCATCGAGCTAAAAGGTGAGGATGAGAAGGTAGAAGGCAATCAGCCAGGAGCCATAAAAATCTCAGGACGTGGTTATGCAGTTGACAAAAAACAAACATGTAGGATAAGGCTAGTTAACTAGTTGCGTCTGGCTTGGCTAGATCCACAAGTCTGATTGCATGGTCATAAGCCTCTTCATTTTCTTGCGCAGAAGCTGAGCAGAGACGGTGAATGACTATCCATGATTGACATATAGCACATCTAGTCCTCTGCAAGCCCGTTAAGGACTTGTCCAATCATGTCAAACGATCACTTATCCACAATATCATGACTCTGTTCATAGGTCGTAATTTGACTCGTTCGAAGAGGCTGGGCAGTAGATGCGTATGCCAAAAACCAGATGATCGGTCTGAATAGAGGTTGTACAAGTGTAAATCTGTCGACTGGGAGGAATTCGGTGCTCTTGTTCTGAAACCGATCCTTGCACAGTGTGATGCGCAGAATCACATCAGGAACAGGGTTGAAGGGGCATCCCTACAAGGCCTCAGATGCCTCACTTTTGTGGAGCCTGAAACTAAGATAACGCAGCATTCCAAATGGTCAAGATCTGGTATCACAGGAGTGGCTTCAGACACCGTGCAGTGATGGAACCTGTTGGGAAAGATAGGCTTGTTCCACAGTCACCCATGTAGTAGCAGATGGTAACGTGGTCGAACCAAAACTCTGCACCTGTAGTATGGCCAAACCATGTTGTTGGGAACTTTGCAAGGAAAATTGATTTAATAGGTAGTATACAGTGTACAAAGCAAATATTGTGACAACGCATCTCTTGTGGAAACCCATGCCCTGTTTTCATGTTAGCCGGCTAACGCTGTCCAATTAAAAGAAAACAACCAATAATGACGCTACCCAAATAAAGAAAGTATATGCATGTGTGAGGCTTCGTGTGCAATAAGAATCCGAAATAGGGGTTGCTCGAGTTGAAACCTGGACATCCCTGTGTACAGCGTCGAAAAATCTTTGATAGCAGACAGGTGATTTTCCTTGACTCGACTCGACTGTCTCTTGGTGATTCTACCCAGCATTGTGCTGAAGGAATCGATGAGGAATAACCCATTTCTCTCGTGTGAGATGTTCATCTCCCTGATTGGAGCTCTGGAAAATTCGAGGTTCGATCAGAGTCTTGATCGTCCCCCAGTATGACGTGTCTGGCAATGCGTTTGTCGTACGAGAAGTTCTCAATGGCCTGGTCCGACTTTTCAATGTTCCTTGCAAACTGGCTTTGGAGTCGCGGCGATCCTGACATCCCATTTTGTGAGGAAAACTGTGAAATGACTGTCGTGTTCGTAAAATTTGCAGCCCAGGCGATACCGAAGGGCTACTGAAGCTCCTTTGTGGGTCTCTTCTCTCGCTAATGAACGGTCCATATATTTCAATATCTGTGGCACCAGAGGCTTCGCTGTTCCTGAACGGACATTTCCGACGTGGCACCTTCTGGACAATGTTTTGTTCCCCTTGGAATTCCGTTGAATCTACCAGCAACCTGTCGGAAAGCATGTCCTCTCGTCTTATCGCGATAAAATCATGTGTGAGAGAGACAGGGCTATATCCTGTGATGTCTTGCTCTTGAGATTTGCCATGGGTGTCCTTCCAATTATTACTTTCAAACTGCGCCCCAAAGGCAAAAATACAATGCCAGCCTTCAGGGATCTCTTTTAGCGGAGAGCCGTGTGTCGGACCAC